AACTTGGAATTTTCACCAATTGGTTAACAGTCCTCACTGACAGACACCCTGAAAGAATTGATCATTTGTCCACATGAACCATCTCTTGCAAAGATAGGCATTTCCCTGGTATGGAAAAGCGAAAGATGAAGATACTCCTGATTTAACAAAGCATTAGCAAAGATAATGGCAACAATTTCAAACACATCCAAGAAGTTCTTTGCCAGCCTTTCATTGCATGAATTCACCAATCAAAAACATTTCAAAAATTACCTTTTTAAGCAAACTACAGCTCAATTGCTTTGCAGTTAACATTTTAAAAATTGGCCCATTTCTGCAACAAAGTTGAATTATCAGTGTATGTTTTCACAACACAAGCAATACTACATCCTCTTACCAGCGAGTTAAAAAGCAAAACAAACTGCAAATACTTCAGAAAGCTGACAGTGTGATCACAGCAAAACTGTGCCAAAAAGAAAAGAAGAAATCTAAAGAGGAAGAGCTTGTATGAGACAGGCTGGTTATCCCTCATCCAAAACGCTTGAGACCTGAAGCATTTAAGATTTTTTTTGGATTTTGGAATATTATTTATTTATTTATTTATTTATTTACTTCATTTGTTGACCGCCGTTCTCAGCCCTAGGGCGACTCATGCGGTCAGAAAGGTATTTTGGGCCGGAACCGTTTAGGGCTTTGTAGGCCAACACCAGCACCTTACATTGGGCCCGGTAGCAGATCGGCAGCCAGTGGAGCTGGGACAACAAGGGCGTTGTGTGCTCCCTGCGTCCCGCTCCCGTTAGTAACATGGCTGCCGCTCATTGGACTAGTTGAAGCTTCCGGACGTCTTCAAAGGCAACCCCACGTAGAGAGTGTTGCAGTAGTCGATACGGGATGTAACTAGAGCGTGGACTACCGTGGCCAAGTCAGACTTCCCAAGGTACGGGCGCAGCTGGCGCACAAGTTTTAACTGTGCAAATGCTCCCCTGGTCACCGCCGAAACCTGGGGATCCAGGCTCAGCGATGAATCCAGGATCACACAAGCTGCGAACCTGCGCCTTCAAGGGGAGTGCGACCCCATCCAGCACAGGCTGTAACCCTATACCCTGTTCGGCCTTGCGACTGACCAGGAGTACCTCTGTCTTGTCTGGATTTAATTTCATTTGTTCGCCCTCATCCAGACCATTACAGCGGCCAGGCACCGGTTCAGGACCTCGACAGCCTCCTTAGTAGCAGGTGGAAAGGAGTGACAGAGTTGGACATCATCTGCGTACAGATGACACCGCACCCCGAAACTCCGGATGATCTCACCCAGCGGCTTCATGTAGATGTTAAACAGCATGGGGGACAGTATAGAGCCCTGTGGAACCCCACAGGTCAAAGGCTGTGGTGTTGAACAGGTGTCCCCCAATAACACCTTCTGGGTGCGGCCCTCCAGAAATGACTGGAGCCACTGCAGAGCAGTGCCCCCAAGACCCATTTCCGCAAGGCGCCCCAGAAGGATACCGTGGTCGACGGTATCGAAGGCCGCTGAGAGGTCCAGGAGCACCAACAGGGACACACTCCCCCTGTCTAGCTCCCGGCGCAGATCATCCACTAAGGCGACCAAGACCGTCTCAGTCCATGTCCCGGTCTGAAACCAGACTGTGCCGAATCCAGATAATCCGTGTCTCTCCAGAATACCTGGAGTTGTGAGGCCACCACGCTTTCCATGACTTTGCCCAAAAAGGGGAGATTGGAAACAGGCCGAAAGTTGTCAAATTTAGTGGGGTCCACTAAATACTTCCATAGACATCACAAGACGGTATTTTGAATGATAAACCTTATGCCTGAAGGTGACTTTATATGTAATATTTTAAATAATTTTAGTACAATGAAACCAAAATTGTGTATACTGAACAATCAGAAAATTAAGGTATCTGCAACAGCAACAGGGAACAATATAGACACCATCTGTCCCCCTTTTTTCCTACAGTGGCACTGGACCATGTGCACAGTTCGGATTAGAAGCCTGTCCATTTGTCCACACTCATCTCAAAGTCATTCTCTCACTTTGTATATAATAGAGCAAAATCAGGTTAACTCATTTAACTCAAAGTAACTCTGGATGTCATTTGGACATGCAGGTTTGACTTTTGATCAAAATCAGTTTGGAGTGGGACAATTCTGGCATACAGTAGACCTTCTGTTAACCACAACTCAAGCAACTGGGCCTTTCAAGAAACCAGAAAAAAGTTGATTGACTGCCATTGAACAAAAATCACATACTGTATTCACAAAGCTTTTTTTATGATACAGTAAAACTGTGTTACATTGAGTTTTGTCTTTATTATTTGTTTTTAATTACTTCAATATTAATACCAAGCCAATGTAGGCAGTCCCCAAGTTACAAACATCCCATTTACAAATGACTCACAGTTAAGAATGGGGGTGAGACAACAGGAAGTGAGCGAAATCTAGTTCTAGGAAGGGAAAATTACTCCTGAAAGAGTGATCATGGGGAAAATGTTTCTCCACTGGAGCTTTGTCGCCAATCCTTGATTCCACAATAAGCTAAATTTTTCAAAATCAATGATCACAGGGACAGAAAGTGAGGTGAAATCTTTCAAACACGGGTACAGACAGCAAAACAAACACCACAGGGATATGAACGTTTCCCTATGCTGTCAAAGTCTAGTGTGTATATATTACTTTGAAATGTACCTGTTCTGACTTACAAAAAATTGCTTAGCAGTCCTCACTGACAAACTGACGAACCTAAGAACAAACCTAAAGAAACTATGTAATTCATAACTTGGGGACTGCCTGTATAAGCATTCTCCATCATTTTAGCTTGTTTCCTCATCAGATCAAATGAAAACAATAGAAACCATGTTTTATACAGCAATATTGTAAATAACATGTGGAAGTTAAGTTATTCATTTGGAAAGAAACTGATACATGGTATACTATTATTATTATTATTACTATTATTATTTGACTTACATACAAATCTAACTTAAGAACAAACCTACAGAACCGATCATGTTCGTAAATTGAGGACTGCCTGTACAGAGCATATGACACGGTATAGTATGAGGCATAGATTTCAGTTGGGCCTATTTTTAACAGTAACCCTGAAGCAATGGGAAAGGACACTTATATCCAGTGTCTACCAATCCCTAGAGAGTCTACTGTGTTTCATAATCCTGGATAAGAGATGCTTAATATGTATCCCAGGTCCCTTCCACACAGCAATATAACCCAGATATCAAGGCAGAGAATCTCACGTTTTCTGCTTTGAACTGGAATATATGGCAGTGTGAATCCAGATAACCCAGTTCAAAGCGGATATTTCCGCCTTTATACTCTGGGATATAAAGCTGTGTGGAAGGGCCCTGGGTTCTTGGAGGGCAGATAATCCCACAATATCTGCTTTGAACTGGGCTATCTAAATCCAAACTCAGATAATGTGGGATTTTCTGCCATGACATTCTGGGTATAGGGCTGTGTGGATGGATCCTGGGTTATTGGAGGGCCCTTCCACACAGCCCTATATCCCTGAACATCAAAGCAGGAAATTCCACAATATCTGCTTTTAAATGAGTTATCTGAGTCCTCACTCAGATAAGGTGGGATTTTCTGCCTTGATATTCTGGGATATAGGGCTGTGTGGAAGGGTCCCGAGTCCACACTGCCATATATTCCAGTTCGAAGCAGAAAATGTGGGATTTTATACAGCTATGTGGAAGGGGCCCCAGAATATCAAGGCAGGAAATTCCACAATATCTGCCTTGAACTGGGTTATCTAAGGGCCCTTCCACACAGCCATAGAACCCAGAATATCAAGGCCAAAAATCCTATAATATCTGCTTTGAACTGGGTTATCTGAGTCCACACTCAGATAATGTGGGGTTTTCTGCCTTGATATTCTGGGATATAGGGCTGTGCAGAAGGGTCCTCAGATAACCCAGTTCAAAGCAGATATTGTGAGATTTTTCTGCCTTGATATTCTGGGATATAGGGCTGTATGGAAGGGTACTGAGTCCACACTGCCATATATTCCAGTTCAAAGCAGAAAATTTGGGATTTTATACAGCAATGTGAAAGGGGCCCCAGAATATCAAGACAGGAAATTCCACAATATCTGCCTTGAACTGGGTTATCTGAGGGCCCTTCCACACAGTCCTTTATCCCGGAATATCAAGGCAGGAAGTCTCACAAAATATCTGCTTTGAACTGGGTTATCTGAGGGCCCTTCCACACAGCCATAGAACCCAGAATATCAAGGTAGGAAATCCCATAGTATCTACATAGTCACAAAACCCAGAATATCAATGCCAAATATCCCACAATATCTGCTTTGAACTGAGTTATCTGAGGGCCTTTCCACACAGCCATAGAACCCAGAATATCAAGGCAGGAAATTCCACAATATCTGCTTTGAACTGGGTTATCTGAGGGCCCTTCCACACAATCCTTTATCCCGGAATATCAAGGCAGGAAGTCTCACAAAATATCTGCTTTGAACTTGGTTATCTGAGGGCCCTTCCACACAGCCATAGAACCCTGAATATCAAGGTAGGAAATCCCATAGTATCTGCTTTGAACTGGGTTGTCTGAGGGCCCTTATAACTCAGAACATCAAGGCAGAAAATCCCACATTTTCTGCTTTGAATTGGACTCAGATAACCCACTTCAAAGCAGATATTGTGGGATTTTCTGCCACGATATTCTTGTGTTATAGGGCTGTGTGCAAGGGCCCAGCGAGAGGAATCCCTTCCACTCCCTCCTGTCACCCTTGCAGAGAAAAGGCGGCGATCAGGAGCAAGTCTGCGATGGTGGCCGGCTCTGCTGTCCCTTCCCAGCCATCCTTCCTTCCTCCCTCCCTTCTCTCTCTGTTCTCCCTGCAGCCTCCTTGGGCCTTTCCCTCCCTTCGCCGCCATTCCCTCCCGTTCTGCTGGAGGAGGGCTGCGGTGCCACTCACTCAGGCCTCTCCCTCGCTGTGTGTGTGTGTGTGTCTCTCTCTCCTCTCGCTCACTCACCGGGTGGAGGTGCCCTTCCTCACATCGCACATCATGCACTTGAAGGCCTCGGCGCTGTTGCGGAAGGTGCAGACGCTGCAGTCCCAGTAGCCCTCGTCGGAGGAGGGTTTCGGCTGCCGCTTCGGCCTAAAAAGAATCGGGAAATAAAAAGAGAGAGAAAGAGGGGGAGGATAAGGAGGAGGGGAAAAGGGGAGGAAGGATAAGGAGGGGAGAGCGAGCGGGGGAAGGAGAGAGAGAGAGAGAGAGAGGCACCGGGAGGCTTTTGTAAGCGACCCGAGGAGACCTATTCCGCCGGTGCCTCCTCCTCCTCTTTCTCTTTCTCCTTCTCCTCTCGCTTGGCCTAGTGATCAGGCTTCCTCTCCTTTCCTCGTCCCTGTTCGCCTCCCCGCCATCGCGCCACAAGAGGAGGCGGGAGAGAGGGCGACGAGGAAGAAGCCCCTCACGAGAACAACCCCCTGGCCGCCCTCCTCGCTGGCTCACCTTGTGGGGCTCTTCTTGTCTCCCATGCCGGCTCCAGACGCGTCTCCAGCCCGGCGGCTGCGGCCCTTTGTGTATTTGTCAATAAGGAGGAGCGAGAAGAGGAGGAGGCGGCGGCTGCTGCTGCTGAGGGGAAGCGAGCAAGAGGAGCAGAAAGAGGAGGAGCCGCGGCCGACACAACAACTTGGAGCGAGCGGCCACCTCCAGCTGTTGGGGGAACTCCGGCCGCCGCCTCGCCTTCTCCTCCCTCTCCTTCTTCCCGCAGCCCGCCCGCTTGCCCGCCCGCCCGCCGCCTCCCTCACGTGTCCCCCGGTCGCCAACCAGGCCGAGGCCCAGGCGACGGCGGGGGCAGCCGGAGAGGGATCCCCGCTCGCGAGACAGGCGCACGGCGCGCGCACGGCGCAAGGGGAGGCAGCCGGAGGGGCCCCTCGCGCGCACACAAACACACACACGAAGGGGAATGGCTTCGAAGGGCGACTATTGCGCCGACTCTCTCTCCCTCCCCTCCCTCCCATTCTCTCTCTTTCTGTCTCTCCACACAGGCCTCGGCCGTGACACCAGCGCCATTCCCCCTCCCATTCGCCTTTCATTTTAGTCAGGGAAGGCCGCAGTCTCAGGCCTCTTTCCACACTGCCCTCTTAGGATCCTTGGGGGGTCTTCCCACTCAAGGCAGAAAATCCTACATTACCTCAGTGTGGACTTAGGCCCCTTCCACACAGCTGAATAAAATACCACATTTTCTGCTTTGAACTGGAATATATGGCAGTGTGGAAACTCAGTTCTAAGCAGATATTGTGGGATTTTTTGCCTAGATATTCTCGTTTATATGACTGTGTGGAAAGGCCCCTAGATAACCCAGAGCCCTTCCACAGAGCCCTACATCCCAGAATATCAGGGCAGAAAACCCCACGTTATATGAGTGTGGTCTCAGATAACCCAGGGCCCTTCCACGGAGCCCTACATCCCAGAATATCAAGGCAGAAAATCCCACATTACCTGAGTGTCTAAAGCAGAAAATGTCGGATTTTATTCTGCTGTATGGAAGGTGCCTGGGTTATATGTCTGTGGGTCCTGCCACACAGCCTCATATCATAGAATCATAGAATCAAAGAGTTGGAAGAGACCTCATGGGCCATCCAGTCCAACCCCCTGCCAAGAAGCAGGAATATTGCATTCAAATCACCCCTGACAGATGGCCATCCAGCCCCTGTTTAAAAGCTTCCAAAGAAGGAGCCTCCACCACACTCTGAGGCAGAGAGTTCCACTGCTGAACGGCTCCCACAGTCAGGAAGTTCTTCCTCATGTTCAGATGGAATCTCCTCTCGTAGTTTGAAGCCATTGTTCTGCGTCCTAGTCTCCAGGGAAGCAGAAAACAAGCTTGCTCCCTCCTCCCTGTGGCTTCCTCTCACATATCCTAGAATATCAAGGCAAAAAATCCCACATTATCTGATAACCCAGTTCAGAGTAGATATTGTGGGATCTCCTGCTTTGTGGAAGGACCCTCAGTCAAAAGCAAATAATCGGGGATTGGATTATGGTATATAGAGAAGTGTAGAAGGGGCCTTAAATGGGCCTCATCGAGGCATGTAGCCGGGGGGGGGGGGGCTTGGGGGGCTTCAGCCCCCCCCCCAAAATTCTCATGGTGGTCCGCGAGAAGGCCTTACTGGTGCATTATTTAAACTGTTATGTTTATTCATATCATGATCTGATCACCATGCTCAATATATCCCATATGCATGGGGGTATTGGGGTAACGATACAAAAGGTTTGCTAGGGTAGACCCTCTTTCACTCAGACTCAGCCCCCCCCCCCCCTCCCCAAACAAATCCTGGCTACGGGCCTGGCTTCATCTGTCACCAATCCGAATTAAAACCTTCATCTCAAGGCAGGAAATCCCGCAATATCTGCTTTGAACTGGGTTATCAGATAATGTGGGATTTTTTTGCCTCTCTAATCTGTCAAGATCGTTTTGAATCCTGCTCCTGTCCTCTGGAGTATTGGCTATCCTTCCCAATTTGGTGTGGTCTGAAAACTTGTATGATCATGCCTTCTAACCCTTCGTCTAACTCACTAATAAAGATGATGAACAGGACCGGGCCCAGGGCGAAACCCTGCGGCACTCCGCTCGTCACTTCTTTCCAGGATGAAGAGGAAGCATTGGTGAGCACCCTCTGGGTTCGTCCATTTAACCAATTACAGATCCACCTCACCGTAGTTTTGCCTAGCCCACATTGGACTAGTTTCCTTTCCAGAAGGTCATGGGGGACCTTGTCGAAGGCCTTACTGAAATCCAGGTACGCTACATCCACGGCATTCCCCGCATCTACCCAGCTTGTAACTCTGTCGAAAAAAGAGATCAGATTAGTCTGGCATGACTTGTTTTTGATAAATCCATGTTGACTATTAGCGATGACCGCATTTGTTTCTAAGTGTTTGCAGACCCCTTCCTTAACAATCTTTTCCAGAATCTTGCCTGGTATCGACGTGAGGCTGACCGGACGGTAGTTGTTTGGGTCATCCTTTTTTCCCTTTTTGGAGATTGGGACCACATTGGCCCTCCTCCAATCTGCTGGAACTTCTCCCGTTCTCCAAGAACTCTCAAAGATGGTTGCCAATGGTTCCGAAATCACTTCCGCTAGTTCCTTCAATACTCTGGGGTGTAGTTGATCTGGCCCTGGGGACTTGAACTCATTTAGAGCGGCCAGGTATTCCTGACAACTTGTTTCCCAATTTGGGGTTGGATGTCCTCTAATCCCTCATCCACTCCATCTTGCTGAGGTTGAAGATGACTTTCTTTTTGTGAGAAGGCCGAGGCAAAGAAGGCATTAAGTAGTTCTGCCTTTTCCCTACCCCCTGTCAGCATTGTTCCATCTTCTCCTCGAAGAGGCCCTATCGCCTCCTTGTTTTTCCTTTTTCTACTGACATAAGAAATATGTCAGTAGAACATATAATGGACTTCAGACTGCGTTATCCAACAGTGCAAATCACTGCTTTGTAAACTGGGTCCCAACCTCAAATGGAGTCTCCTTTCAACTCGATGTCGGGATCATGAAAAATTTGGCAACTGTGAAAGGTTTTTGAATCCGTCTATTTACACAAATCAGTTAATAACCTACAGTGTTTACAGTGGACTCTGCAAGAAATGCTTCAGCTGTGCTTCATAAAAATGGAAAATTAGCCTGTTTAGCAAGCCTTGCAAGTGCTGGTTATCAGTAAATGTTTGCTTTGTATATATAGAGAATTAGTTTTATCTCTATATATACCTTGGGTCATACAAACTCTTTTCAGGCAGAAAGAGGTCCGAAAAGGTTAAGAAGTCCTAGGGTGGCTTAAACCTTAGAAAGCTTGGCTTTGGCTGCGTTGAGAGTATGTCTGATTGGAAGTCATGACCAGTGTCCACCACTGAAGAAGCCATGAAGTGTACTGTGAAATCCAAGCACTGGTTGTTAGTGTGAAATGGGTTTGGAGTTAGTGGGAATACATTTCTAAAGTTCTACATACAGCAGAACTTTCAAACTAAGTGTCGCAACACATTAGTATATCAGTTGCAGTGTGTAGGTGTGTGGCATGAAGGTAACAAGAAACCACGTGGTCAATGTGGAATTAGCAATAAATCATGTATTTTTAAAATATATAAATGAAAAGTTTTCATGTTTCACTACAAGTGATATATATGTCCATATCTTTTATAAGGCGTTGGTTTAACTTCCACTTTCCTAGTCGTGAAGTGATGCATGTCTAAAAAGTGTGTGACCTACAGTTTCTTACTGTCGATTAAGCATAGCTGCTACACACTCAGTCCACTCCATTGCAAGTATGGCTTCTGCAGTGTTAAGAATATAGAATGAGTGATTCATCTTACATATAGATTGGAGGTCATGACCAGTCTCCACTATTGAGAGGTATCTTGTGTAGGAAGTCATAAGATGTTCTGTGAAAGCCCTCCGGTTGTTTGAGTAAAATGGAATTGGAGTCAGTAACTGGAAATAGATTTTTGAAGTACCGACAGCTTGTTACTGCTATAAACTCAGCCCACTCCACTAGCAAGGTGGAGGCACCAGAATCAGTTCAGGTTGGCCATCCTTTATCCGTACTTTGGAAATCTGAAATACTCCCAAATCTAAAATTGTCCACATGAGGCTGAATCTGCACTAGGGCTTCTAATGCTTCAATTTACATAAACATTGCTTCACACAAAAATTACTATTAAAGAGTGCATCCAGGCTATATGCATTTCCTGTTTCGACTTGGGTCCCTTCTCCAAGATATGTCATTATGTACACATCTGCAAATACAGACATCCCACCATCTAAAATCAGATCCAAAACACTTCCAGTTCCAAATATTTTGGTTAAGGGACACTCAACCTGTACTGACTGATGCCCATTATTTGGGATATCTGTTTATTGTCCGTGTTGTAATGATTTATCGCATATTCCTTCTCCAAAAATAATTTTAAAAATATTTTCCTTCAGTTCAATATTCCTGGATTATAATAACCTAAACTAAATACAGCATTTGACACTGCATATTAATTAGGTTGGTTTCTGTCTGCACAGTATCTCAATATAGGTCCTGCCTTTCTATCTTATTTAAAGAAGGAGATTTATATAGATATACTAGCTAAACTAGTAAACTCGCTGGTTTGAAATTAATGAGATAGTAAATAAAAGTATTGTTGCAAACATAGATTCACTGAGAAAACATATTCTATTCAATACCCTGCCTTGCGTTGCTGTGTCTATGGAATGAAAAGAGGAAAGAAAAAGAGGCTTTTTACAGAAATAATTTTTAATTGTAATACTAGTTGATGACTACATTTTTGGTTTGTCCGTTTTCTGCATAAACATAAAGATCTGATGGTTTACCGACTCTTGAGCATGTGACATCTAAGTGCCCATGAGAGAAGCAATTGTTTTCTAAATTCAAACCGCACACTTCCAAAGATTACCCCTACGCTTTATTGATAGCCATAGGTTGATATTTCTTTTACTGCTGAGGTCAAAGAAAAGCTGTGTATCGATTGGTTGATCGTGCTCAATTTTCATTTCTTATACTGCTGTGGTAAAATGAAAGCTAGGCTGTGATTGGTTGCTTTGGGCATCACAGATTCCACTTTGTCAATTACCGGACTGCTAGTTTTACTCTAAATACACATGTATTCAAATGCAACATTGTTTAAATTTCATTTTACTATAAAAACATGCATATTGGAATGCAGCACTGTGTCAAAATGTCAAGTCAATCGACCAACTACTTCTTGAGTTTTGCATGCACAAACA